CACAGCTACCCACCTGAACTATATTATTATAAAGACTACTTTCCTAGTCTATTTAGATGGCTCTGGTTCTCAGTGTTGTGAAGAGCTGGCTGCAAGATCTAATTCATATTCATTCCTATAATATCTATCATAATAATGGACTAATGAAAGAAAATATTACCCAGAGGTAGCTCGTTTTTTAATATTTAATTTAACAATGAGGACCAGACCTTCAGACTTACCCTCATGATACTCCGTAGCGGCATGGTACCATGGGAAAATCGATGCACGAATATTGTTTCAATCAGCCTCTTCAAGTAATGGAATGAGTGGCATACGCAGGCCAGGCTAGAGTGAAAGAAATGAAGTGGAGCATTAGACTACAAAAGGCAATTGTGTTTTAGGCAGAATTTTCAAGAGTGGAACAGGACTTACGTTACTACTGGGTAAGGACTGGAGGTGAAGGCATACTTATGGTGATAGATATATGGGAGACGGAAATAGAACAGAAGATATATAAAGAGTGGACCAGCATATTCAGCCAGGAACACCTGTGAGAGAGAGGAAAGAAACGAGAGAGAAATTTTAAGGTTTAGCAGTATTGTATTTTCTGAGTTTTAAAATCTAAAATAATACAACCAACCTAAAAGACTGCTGAAGTTCAGCATGAGGTTCAGTATAACCCCTTTGAATTATTGATCACATGGTACCCTTGAGTTTCTATTTCAGTAACATACTGTATCTAAAGGGATTTCTAATACTGTTTCTATTTCTCAGAAATGTTTTGCAAAAATGAACCATCATTTCCAGGTCACAATGATAAAAAAGGTAAATGTATGCTACAGAAAGTGTTAGGTTTTATACAATAACCCATATAACCTGTATACCACACAAAGGTTTGGGTGTGTGAAGATTTGAATTTGGGCAGTTCATTTAGAACAGGAGAAGGGAAGCACAAATGTCTTTTCACAAATGTTGGTGGAGGTCTGAATAATCTGAATCATCTTCTCAGACAAGGAGTTGAAATTGGCAGCATGACTTCTTTCAAAAAGCACCTGAAATAGATCCTTGGATCACTTAGTGACCAGCTAACAGTGAACTAGATAGTACAAAGTCCCCTCTCATTTATAACATTTCTCATGTTCTTATCTTGATCTGACAATTATGGACAACAGACAATACAGCAGTTACTGTACTGTTTTTTAAGTCTGTATAAGG